ATTAGTCACTTACCACAAGATACAAAATGGCCTTGTTGTCTTAGTAAACGAAAAACAAGGGCAACAAGATAAAGGTCATCCCCATATTTGTTGTTGCATTCACGGTAGGCTTCGTACATCCTTTGTACCGATGCCTCAATTTCCTCTTCAAAATGGTACGATACTCCTAAGCGTTGGATTTTATCAATCAACTCGACCTTTTCTGAAGACGTGTCATGGACTGCCATTAGCATCTTCCTCACTTCTTCTTTCAAGTCTTGAACTTGTTTCCATTCCGGAGGATTAATAATCTGGAAGGAAAAATGTTGAAGAGGGTGGATTCATCAGTAACAGAGGAAGAAATAATAGAAGAAGAATTTAGTCATGGCGCAAATGGTAAATAACACAAAAAGCCGCTCATCTAACGAAACTAAAAATAGCATGCAGATATATAATATATGTATACTTCATTTCTAATGTGTATAATAATGTATAATCAATGTTTAATATATGTATAATGATTAGAAAAAGTAAAGAGTGTTGCCAACTGAATATTTGTGCAAAGTTCTACTAAATATTATTCTGACGACCAAGCTTCCCCTTACATGCCTCTAATCCATTTTTTGTAATATTTTCACATCTAGTTTTACTTACGTGAGTGGTGCATAAATGTTTTAACTACCAAGCTAAGTTGATTTACAACAATAAGTAATTGACCGTCTGTAGCAATTTTATATGACAATCTATAAAATATATTACAGCAAATTACCATGGAATCAGAAACACAATCAAGGAAATAGTCTCCCCAAATGCTTCGATGGTAATTTGCAGAAGGACGAGAGACTTCATGAACTCCAACCGGCATGCCTTTGCTGAAATCCATCGTCTTTTTGGATGAAAGGATACAAGGACAAATATCTACTCAAAACTGATAAAACACTTCTACATTTGCTTCTGATTACGTAGTTATTTATAGTGGAGGATTTGCTTTCTTGCATGGGGCCAATTCAATTAAATTCTCCCACATTTTTCAGCTTCTTAATTGATATTATAAGGGTTTTGACAATATCAATGAATTTTAATGGATTGTAGCATATTAGTTACTCCATCCGTTTCAAATTATCTGT